GGCAACGTGCCGCTCTTTTTCCTCCAGCCTAACCTGTGCTTGGAATCGCGTTTTTGCGCTGGAAAGACGCAGCAACTTCAAAGACCTGTAACTCTGAGCAGCGTGCTTCGCGCTCTCGCAGCTGCCAAGCATGCCTCAGGCAAAGGTCCCGGCACCATGCCGTGAAATGTTCGACTCCAGGCCCAAGTGCAGCACACTTCCAGCTCCTCGCGACGCTCACGACACACTGGACCCTCAAAACTCGCTGACTCTCCGCGAGCCTCCAGCCAGGCCCGCCAAGCTTGCTGGTAGGCTTGCTGCTCCTGCCCAGGTCTGTCAACCGTGCTTTCAACGGGGCGGCAAGCTCAAACGACAAGACTCCTGAGAGCCAAAGACCTGCACGCTGAAGGTTGGATCAATGGGACCGTCACAGGGAACCTGCACAATGATACGCAATCTGCAACATACGCCGTGTGCATGCCACTCACGTCTTGAGCTCATGCACCCTCCACTGCGAAGCTGGTGGCAGCATCCATTGGTCCGGATTGTACGCCCACGCCTCACGCATGTGCGAATCCCGGTAGCACTTTGTGCGGAGCAGTGTCACAGGACAGAACCTGATCACCTCCGATGGCAGGACCAAACCACCTTGTGTTCGGCGGGAGAGATGACATCTCTGGTCTAGTTCCTTTCGAGCGGCTTCCTCCTTGTTTTCAAACTCTCTAATCTCTTTGGAAATCCCCTCGTCTCTTTCGAACGGTTTGCTCCTTTGTCTGAAACTCTCCAATTCCTTTCGAGCGGTTTGCTCCTTGGTCTCAGAGTCTCTAGTCTCTTTCGAGCGGTTTGATTCCTTCGATCAAAAAGAATTGTCTTTTCCGGGCGGTTTGCTCCTTTTTCTGTCCCTGTCGAGCGGTTTGCTCTTGTGTTTCAATGTCTCTAGTCCCTTTGGAGCGGTTTGGTCCTGCTTTTGACATTCTCTAGTATCTTTCGACCGGTTTGCTCCTCGTTTTCAAACTCTCGTCGATAGTCTCTTTGGAGCGGGTCGCTCTTTGTTGTGAAATTCTCTAGTTCCTTTCGAGCGGTTTGCTGCTTGTTCTGAAAACCTGTAGTCTCTTTCGAGCGGTTTGCTCCTCGTTCTGGAATTCTGTAGTGCCTTTAAAGCGGTTTGCTCCTTGCTTTCAAGTTCTCTAGTCTCTTTCGAAATTCTCTAGTCTCGTTCGAGTGGTTTGCTCTTTGTTCTGAAATCCTTTAGTTCCTTGCGAACGGTTTGCTCCCTGGTTTCAAATTCTCTGGTCTCCTTTGAGCGGTTTGCCTCTTTTTCTGAAATTCTCTAGTCCCTTCCGAGCGGTTTGCTCCTTGTTTTCACGTTCTCTAGTCTCTGTCGAAATTCCCTAGTCTCATTCGAGCGGTTTGCTCCTTGTTCTGATATCTGAAACTCTCTGGTTCCCTTCGAGCAGTCTGCTCCTTGTTCTCAAATTCTCTAGTCTCCTCGCAAGTCTCCAGTCTCTTTCGAGCAGTTTCTTTCCAGCGGTTTGCTTTGGGATTTGAAATTCCCTAATTCCTTGCGAGCGGTTTGCTCCATGTTTTCAATTTCTCTAGTCTCTTACGATTTTCTCTAATCTCGTTCGAGCGGTTTGCGCTTTGTTCTGAAATTCTCTAGTTCCTTTCGAGCGGTTTGCTCCGTGTTTTGACATTCCCTAGTCTCTTTCGAGCGGTTTGCTCCTTGTCTTCAATTTCTTGAATCTTTTTCGAAATTCTCTAGTCTCTTTCGAGCGGTTTGCTGCTTCTTCTGAACTTCTCTAGTTCCTTTCGAGCGGTTTGCTGTTTGTTTTCAAGCTCTCTAGTTTATCGAAATTCTCGAGTCTCGTTCGAACGGTTTGCTCCGTAGCCTCTTTCGTTCGAGCGGTTTCCTCCTTGTTTTCCCTTTTCTCTATTCTCTTACGAAATTCTCTGGTCTCTTTCGAGCGGTTTGCTGCTTGGTTTCAAATTCTCTGGTCTCCTTCGAAATTCTCTAATCTCTTTCGAGCGGTTTGCTCCTCCTTCTGAAACTTTCTGGTTCCTTTCGAGCGGCTTGCTCCCTGTTTCCAGAATCTCTAGTTTCTTTCGGAATTCCCTAGTCTCGTTCGAGCGGGTTGTTCCTTGTTCTGAGTTTCTCTAGTCCTTTCCACGGCTTGCTCCTTATTCTGAAATTCTCTAGTTCCTTTCGAGCGGTTTGCTCCTTGTTCTGAAATTCACTAGTTCCTTTCGAGCGGTTTGCTGTTTGTTCTCAAGCTCTCGAACGGCTAGCTGCTTCTTCTGAAAGTCTCTATTTCCTTTCGAGTCGAGCGGCTTGCTCCTCCTTTACTTCTGAAAGTCTCTAGAAAATCCCTAGTTCCTTTCGGGCGGTTTGCTCCTGGTTTTCAAAATGTCTAGTCTCTCCGGAGCGGTGTGCTCCTTCTCCTGAAACTCTGTAGTTCCTTTGGAGCGGTTTGCTTCTTGTTCTCAGCGTCTCTGGTCTCTTTCGAGCGGTTTGTTCCTGGTTCCCAAATTCCCTAGCCCCTTTGAGCGGTTTGCTTCCTTCTTTCAATATCTCTAGTCTTTTCCAGGCGGTTTGCTAGTTTTCCTGTCCCTTTCGAGCGGTTTGCTCTTTTGTTCTAGTCTCTTTCGGGCGCTTTCCTCCTGCTTCTGAAATTCTCTAGTTGCTTTCGACCGGTTGCTCCTCGTTTTCAAAATCTCGAGTCACTTTCAATTTTCGATAGTCTCACTGGAGCGGGTCGCTCTTTGTTGTGAAATTCCTTAGTTCCTTTCGAGCGGTTTGCTCCTTGCTTTCAAGCTCTCTAGTCTCTTTCGAAATTCTCTAGTCTCGTTCGAGTGGTTTGCTCTTTGTTCTGAAATCCTTTAGTTCCTTGACAGCGGTTTGCTCCTTGGTTTCAAATTCTCTGGTCTCCTTTGAGCGGTTTGCCTCTTTTTATGAAATTCTCTAGTCCCTTCCGAGCGGTTTGCTCCTTGTTTTCACGCTTTCTAGTCTCTGTCGAAATTCCCTAGTCTCATTCGAGCGGTTTGCTCCTTGTTCTGATATCTGAAACTCTCTAGTTCCTTTCGAGCAGTCTGCTCCTTGTTTTCAATTTCTCGAGTCTTTTCGAAATTCTCCAGTCTCTTTCGAGCAGTTTGCTCCTTGTTCTGACATTTTCTAGTTCCTTTGGAGCGGCTTGCTCCTTGTTTCAACTTGTCTAGTCTGTTTCGCTTTTCCGAGCGCTTTCATAATCCCTCTGAAACTCCCTAGTTCCATTCGAGCGGTTTGCTCCTTGGTACGAAATTCTCTAGCTCCTTTGGCGCGATTTCCTCCTTGCTCTTCATATTCTCTAGTCTGTCTGGAAATCTCTAGTCTCGTTCAAGCGGTTTGCTCCTTCTCCTGAAACTCTCTAGTTCCTTTCGAGCGGCTTGCTCGTTTTTTTCAATTCCGCTAGTGTCTTTCGAATTTTCTCTAGTCCCTTCTGAGCGGCTTGCTCCTTGTTCTGAAATTCTCTAGATCCTTTCGTTTTTCAAATTCTCTAGTCTCTTTCGAAATTTCTCTAGTCTCTTTCGAGAGGTTTGCTCCTCCTCCTGAAATTCTCTACTTCCCTTCGAGCGGCTTGCTCCTTATTTTCAAGCTGTCTAGTCTCTTTCGAGTCTTTTTCGAGCGGTTTGCTCCTTGGTTTGAAACTCTGTAGCCTCTTTCGAGCGGTTTGCTCCTTGTTCTAAGACAACGCTCACTCTCTTTTCGCTCCAGCAATGGAGGAGGTTTTGTAGCAAAAAGTGTCAGCGACAGGGGTTTTACAAGTCTTCGCAGGCTTTTAGCAGCAAGGCTTTTACAAATCTTACAAATCAGCGACTGTGCTCCCAGAGCTAGGTCAGCAACTAATCTGTAGACCGAAGCTGGTTTGAGACCGAAACCGCGTAGTTTGTTCGAGACTTTGCGGCTTGCTCCGGAGCTAGCGCTTTAGCCTTGGCCTGCTACCCCTATCCACGACCCCGAGAGTTGCGGAGCGATGCGCTTTGTCGGAGATAAAGCGCGTAAAATTTTTTGAATGGCTCCTGGGAGACTTCGAACGTCATCTCTGCAAGCCTCGCTAAGCCATCCTGGATGTAGAGCTTGGCTGTACGGCTCCATCGACCCATGTGCCGAACTGCATCGAAATTCGGGTGCTTGCGCCAGTACATGGTCGCACCTCCGCGCCGCAAGCTGTAAGGCCTGAAACGCCACTGCAGCAAACCGAGGGCTTGCAAGCCCTGGTCAAAAGCTTTGCGAAAGAGGTAAGGTGAAACCGGCACCAGGAAAGTACTTGACGCTTTGCTTCCATTGTGCGAGCTGAAAGCAAACATCAGTCACGCGCAAAGTAACAGAGTCATAAGTTCCGGTCCGTTGTGAGGTTTTGGTCAGACCCAAACTTATGACAGCAAACTCGAAAGTGGGTGACACATGCACATGAGAAGCTTGCAAGTTGAGCAGTTCTCCAGTGCGCAAAACACTGTAAAAAGCCACTTCAAGCGCTAGGGCCATGAGCGGATTGTGCTGAAACAAAAAGAAACCGCAGAGACACTGGAGAAGGTCTTCTGGCAAAGGAGGCGCGCGTTGGGGCATCTCCCGTTTCTGCCATGTGCGGACCAAGCGCCAGGACAGCGCCAAGTTGCCCCGAAAGCGTGGCCGGAGGTCTTCGGGCCATCTGTGACCAAAGAGAGGCTCTCCCCTTCTTCCCAAAGGTGTTCTATGCACTCCGCAAACACACTGTCCACGCACTCCGCATGATCGGGGATGCGGATGCGCTGGATTTGGGCGTACAAGTAAAAAGCTTTTCAAAGCGGCATCGTAACGTTGCCGGGTTCGTGGTGCCACAGTGTTGGACCGCAAAGTTCCCAAACGTTGTCTCTCCACCCTTCGTTCCTGCTTTGTTCGAGCTGCTACTGCTACTTTGCCCATTTGCGCTTTACGCGCCTCAGGCGCCGACTAGGTGCGTCGGCAGGGTTCGTTGCGCTGGACACGTACCCCAGGAACGGGTGGAGACCGGAAGAGAGGAGAAGGGAAGCAATGCGGTACATCAAAGATTGTATCTTTCGGGAACTCGAGCGTCCGCGTGAGGCTACGTGCAAACACACCATAGAGTCGGTTAAGTGGATAAAAACGGGCCTTCAGCTCTTTTCGCCGGAGGACCCGCCATCGCAAAGCTGTATAAACCGCCCGAAGTTCGTAGCGATTTATGTGGTCCTTTTCAGTGGATGGCCAGGGCCACCCACAAATGGTTTTCCAGGACCAAAGATGGGCAGGAATCGAAGCCCGAAAACGTTGATGATCATGAACCTCGGTTCCTCGTTGAATCATGATGTCGCTCCCCTTGCCGGACAGCAAGGTGAGCAACCGCGGGACCAGCCGGCCCTGGGTGGGTTGACTGACGAAGCTATCGCCGAGCGGATGCCAAGACAGCAGAGTGCTTGAAAAGATCGGCTGGCCACCGAAAAGAGTCCAAAGGAGTTGATGCAATGACTCTGTCACGCACAGCTTCAAAGGGCGGAGGAGTTGGAGCAACAAAAAGGCTACCACAGCAACGCTCCACGTGTTGCCCAACAAACTCGTACGGATATCCTCCACTTTGAGGGGGTTGCCCTTCGCCTCATCCTTCGGCAAGACATTTGCGGTGTATCCCGGAAAAAAACCCAGGGAGCGTTCTCGCTCCTGAACGCTGGGAACGCGCGGGGGTTGTTTGGCGTGCCAAAGGAGATTTTCATCCCGGTATTGGTAGGGAGGAAAACGATGGCGATCACCAGACCAACGATCAAGGGCCTCAGCATTGCACCTGGCTATTCCTGCCGGCTTACTCCGAGTGTTTTGGTTGGGTTGAGCCGTGGTGACAGTAGTAAGACACCCAGCTTGTGGATGCAGAGCCCAGCCAGGCTCTAAACATCCAACTTGGGGTGAAGTGATCGTGAAGTTCACTTGTCCGTATGATGCTGGGTCACCACTTTGGGGTGGGTAGAGTTCTACCCCCTCCTCGTGCACCAAGGTCCATGTGAACCAGTATAACCTGTCGCGTCTGCACGGGGACAGTTCTGAAGCACAGATTCGGTAAGGGATAAAGTCAGCATCACGTGTATAGGCGATGCGCTTTTGGACATCCAGACTCGTGACGCTCTCCTGCAAGAAATGGAGTGGACACCAGCTGAAGGCCTTCTGGATCATGTTCACAAGCGGCTTCACAAGAGAATGTAGTGAGCTCTGACATGGGGGTCCCGCTCCAACAATGACAAGCTTGGCCGTGGAAGCAAGCCAAGCCCAGCGCTGACACATATCTGGAGTGATGTCCTCTACTTGGTCCACGAAGATAGCATCGGGGAAGTTGCTCTCTACAACTCTGCGGGCTGCCGGGTCTTTCTCCACTTAGACATGCAACGAGACGAAAGCGTGAACGGCTTCGAGGCTGACACGGAGGGCTGATATACCATCAAAGAGTCCAATGCAAACGATACCACCATCGGGCACTTCGCAATCTATCTCTCCTCGGAAAGTTCCTTGACCCACCTGCAACCCCAAGCTGGTTTCACCTTGAGAGGCGCATACGCCTCCTCCTAGAAGTGATGCGTGACTGGCCGTCACCAAGTTTGATGTGGAAAGCCTGTGGTCAATGTGCGCTAACGGCAACAAGCAAAGGAACATTAGCATCTCCGAGAGCACAGCGCCTGGGATTGGACGAACCCGCGGGCCTGGGTCTTCGAAAGATTGGATGAAGGCCCAGATGAAGTTCAAACATGACATGAGCGGCCGCCGAAACATAGCGAAGTAAACGAACCCACCTCCCACAATTTGGATCTCCTTTTGTGAGCAGCGTGCCCTCCTAAGTAAGGAGAGCGCCGCACTCACGTACTTTCGTAGCTTGTCCTTCTTCGGCCGGCTCCACCCTGCAGAACCATTGACATCAGCACCCTGAATCTCCGCCTTGGTTTGTTGCTTTGCCGATTTCTTTGGATTGAGTGGGATCCCACCTTCCTCGTAGGCGGCAATCAACGGTGCCACTTCCGGTGACACCTCGCCTTCCAGCAACTTCACCATTTCTGGGGCCTTTTTCTCCAGCACATCCAGATTGTCTAGGCACACACGCCAAACCGGATTGTTCAATGGCCAAGTGCGATCTTTTCTAACCTCGTTGAAAGGGCCCAGCTGCTTGATCGGACCTTGGGCCTTCTTCAAAAAGTTTCTATGCAGATGCTGCGCCACTCCAACGGAGCTCAACTACCCCATGGGTACTGCTTTGGCGGTCAGAAAACATGGCTCATCAACCCCAGGAGGAACTAAGTCCGAAGGCACTGCTTTGCCGAAACCCAGATACGGGAACCAGGCTGGCGGTAACCTGAAAAGATAGAAGAAACACCGAATGTCCTCGGACGATATCACCAACTCCTCTTGCGGTTGTAGCGGCAGCGACCCCATCTGGTGCAGTAGTGGTAGAGTGGCCACATCACCGCTCACTGGAACACTGATGGAGTTCAAGGGGATTAAATTCATTGTCAGCCGATGTACCTCGACACCCGACTGTTGTTCGCCCTTCTCGAACCCAAACAATCCGTTCAAGAGTGGCTGCCCTCCTGGCGCCAGCAAGGCCGACTCTGGAAGGATTGCACAGAGATTGTATTTCACAAGTCCCCGGGCCAACTCATCCCACTCCTCATCCCGAACCATCACTCTGGAAGCCCTCACTGCCTCATCATTCCAGCCAGGGACCAAATACTTGTGGGGATGAGTTAGGAGATCCAATACTCCACCTTCTGCCAGATCCACTGCTGCGATAGATCCAATAGAACCTAAAGGTAAGGCCGGTTCTACATTGGCCCAAGCCCAAGTAGTCCACTTGGACGTTCGCACCTCCTCATTGGAATAACTGACGCTGCGTGTCTGAAGGAACTTGCTCCAATCGAATTTCTCCAAGGTGAAACTCTGTTCCAGAAAACAGTTGACGCGCTCTTCTAGGTACTTTAGGATTTCATGCTGCAGCGCGGCTGGGGTTTGACTTGAGAGGCAACAATGAGACCCTCCGTTGAGGTAATTCAGAATTCAGACCAAAGACAACCAAAGATGGCCACACGCCGAGTCCGTTTATCTTGCTCACTGAAAGGTTCCATGCATCCAAGTTGGGCAGGGGCAGAGGGAAAACTGACGCTCTCTCTTGTCCTCTCTGCCATAGACGCTTCTCCTCCATTGCAAAAAGCTTTCACCAAACCACTGACACCACACTCGCATCTGCCCAACAATAAATGCACAATATTCAAGAACCAATCCGTTGAATAAAAACCCTCCTTCACGTCATCATTGCCCAAGTGCCTGCCATCAGCCACTGGGGTTTCCCCCAGCGTGCCTGGACTAGGCGGTTTCGGGCCCGCAGTTTGAGACGAAGTCTGAATGCCAATCTGCTCTGGCTCAGCTTTCTCTAATGGGGCTTTGCTGGCTCGGCTCTCGCGGTTCCCCCGGGGTTCCCTAGACCTGCCTTTCCACCTCCCTTGTTGTTCTTCCCATCGCCTTTCTTTCCATCCCCCTTTTTCCGATACTCCTCTTGCCACCGGGTTTTGCCGCCACCTTTCCCCAACTCTCTTTGCACCTTCGATTCGTTGCGATACTCCCTCGCGGCACCTTGGGCCTCGGCCGTGCTGGTGATGAGTTCCTGGTCGAGTGGTACCAGCTCCAGGTTTTGTGCCACCGCCCATGCCGACCCAGCTAGGACCAGCTCGATGGCTTTCACCCGTTGCACCATAACGTCCATGGCCCCCAGAATGTCCCTTTGTAGCAATCGGTCTAGCGCATGACCCAATGTCAATAACTCCCTTTTCTGAACGGGGGCTGGATTCTTCATCATGACATGTAAACGAAGATACCGAAGTAGAACAGGCTGTATTGTGCGCATGCTCTCCTCTCCCACTTGCTGTACCAGAAGACGACCCATCTCGTCTACTGCGTGCCTCGTAAGAATACCCGGTATTGCCTTGGCCAATCGCTTCACCCTGTGACCTTCTCTGAACGGGTGACCTGAATCTGCCGAGTCGATGGTCCCCCCGCTGCTGCTTCTGCTGTCGCTCACCTGACTGCTGTTGCTCTCGCTGCCGAGGCTCCTTCCTCGCTTGTGCTTCTTTTTGCTCTTCTTCCTGGACTTCTTCTTCCTTTTTCTCCTTTTTAAGCATTTCTTTACCGACTTCTTTGCATCTAAGGGAGTGCTCATGAAGCTGCGATCTCCTGTTTTGATGTTGTGTCGGTCTGGTGTTACTTTGGCCTCGCGCTTGGGGGGTTCCGGTGGGAATCCCTCTCTGCCTTGCCCTTGTGCAATCGCTCTGAGCTCTCCGTCCAGTTCTCCTGCTCCCCCTGGCAGCCCTAGCAGAAAACCCTCCAAGTTCTTTCCCCAATGATCCCCCGATGCCTCCAAGCGCACGGTCGTACCGTGCAAAGAGCCTCGAGCGAGTCCGGTTTTTGGGCAACCCACGGGGCAAAGGTGAACGCTCAGTTCGGCGGGGCTTCCGCACTTCAAAAGGCCTTCGGCCCAAGCTCTGAGTTCGGGGTTGTCGGTCCCTTTGAGGAGTAATGTGGCATGCATCCCCCCCTTGCCCCAAACTATGCACTCCAAACGTCCTAGGGCCTGGCAGGTTGAACCCCAACAGTCGCCACTGAAGACGTAATCACGCCCAAACTCCCAAAAACCAGAAAGTGGCACTGCTGAAATATCCAAGCTCTCTCCACGCTGTAATCTGCCTTTGTAGTCGTAGAAACGCCGAACCCTACCTCCTAAAGAAGGAGACGGGGCCCGAGATACCTTTGCACGAGAGCGCGCCCTGATGCCTGGTTCTTTCAGTATCCCCCTTGGTGGCATATAGGTGTCCCAAAGAATAAAACTCGAACGACGTCGGGGCCGGCCTCCACTTCAGGAAAGATCTGTCGCAGACGAGGACCAGTCGAAGTCTTCGCCCCCACAATCGAAGTTCCGACCACGAGCAACCTTGACACGTGTGTCCTGCCAGGTCCTCCTCGAATGCCCTGTTGGATTTCTTCCGCTTTTTCTTCCCCGAAGTGCCCTCTGGAGCGCTATGGCGGCGAGGACCCGGAGAACTACCAGGATTATTCGGAGGAGGTTCCCTAGGTTCCTTGGGGGTGGCTCTTTGGGAAACTTTGCAAACATCCGACCAACGCTCACCAGCAGGGGGCTTAGTAGAGCTAGATGCATCGTTGGCTAGGGAACCTCCAAAGTGCCTCAGGTCCCTCAGCTTACCCTCCAATGTGGATATCAAGGACAGAATGTTCTCATCAGAACTCTCGGGCAAGCGCAAGCACACCCCACGGACCCTATCCAAAGCCCTACAGATGCCGCAAGAGAAACCTTCCGTTCCGAGGGGCCTGAGGTCAACCTTAAACTTGTCACAAATGGTACACTTCACTTCGCTCATCTCTTAAGCAAAAAGGGCTACCGCAGTCGAGTTACCGTTGTCTTAAACTACGAGAACGTTGTTCGAGCGGTTTGCACCTGATTCTGAAAGAGTCTCTAGTCTCTTTCGAGCGGTTTGCCGCTGGTTCTCAAAGTCCCTAACCCCCTTTGAAGGGTTTACTTCCTTATTCCAATACCTCTACTTTTTTCTGTCCCGTTCGAGCGGTTTGCTATTTTGTTTCAATATCTCTAGTCCCTTTCTAGCGGTTGGCTCCTGCTTCTGAAATTCTTTAGTTACTTTCGAGCGGTTTGTCCTTGTGAACGACTGCCAAGGCATCCCAGAAGATCCGCTCATGCTCTGCTTCCAAAGGCACCCATCTGCCTCCGATTTTTGCTTCCAACCTGGAACAACTCCCTGCCGGCCTCTTAGAGAACGTCGGTTCGAAGGAACGCGATGTCTTTCAGCCTGGGGGGAGTTTGGCAGCCGTAGCAAGCAGCTCCATCTCAAGGACGTGAGTCTCGCTTCTATACAGCGCGATCATCAGAGACTCGTTGCTGCAGGCGCCAGTGTTTCCTTGCAGTCTAACGACTAACGTCCTCGCGGAGCGCCTCCGGCACCTGTGATTGTTCGATCATTTTGTACAGCGGTACGTCAGGACCGTCTTCCAATTTCAGTGCACACACGCCTGGATGGAGCTAATCAAGGCACCCAATTCGGCCTAGATTGAAAAATTGCCCTTGGATTGCGAGTATTGGCAGTGGACGTTGCACTTTCAGGTCTGGTGCTAGCAACGGAATGCAAAAGATGCAAACACTGTACCTATACACGTTAAAAAAGCCAGATGCTCTGACTTTCGGCGAAGGGCTCCTGCACTCATTTCGCATGTCAAGACACCTCCCTAGGAGTCGCAGGGCCTCTGTCAAGGCGGACATTGGCGTCTGGCGCTGTTCGATCACTGGAAGCCACAGCTGCAGGTCAGCTACCGCTTGGCAACCACTCTCGGATTCCTCCGCGAGCTTGGCACTCGAAGCTTACAGTCAGCGCCCTCTCCTCGCAGTCTGCAAGGCTCCAATGACATGGAGCTACCCTTTCTTTCTCGAATCGCTCGAGCGTTCTCGGCCTTTGGCCGCATCTTCTGAGAAAAGAGCAGGAAAGCGAGAGCAGGGCGTCCTTACTTGATCAGCGGAGCACGTAGCAGCTACGTATCGTCAGGTGAAGACACATGTCTTGCGCTCTCGTCTTCATCAGACGAGCCGACAAAGGCAGCCCCTCGTTCTCGAGCCGGAAGGGGAGTGGCACATGTATTATACAGGATCCACCCGTCCTTCGGCAACAGCAAAGAGTGCGAAGAGCTGTGCAATCAGCAGCTTCAAAAATCCTGGAAGTGATGCCGGCCTGTACATTTTCGGCATGTCATTCAAGGAGTTTCGACGGTGAATTACACCCGTTGTGGGTGCCGCAATCCAAAACTGATTGCCAGCAGCTCTGCCGCACAAATTCTCAGATCATGGCCGTGAGGCACGCAAAAAGCCGTCAAGCGCACACGCCCCGCGCGCGCAAGTCATGTCGCGGTTTGGCACCAGCACCGCGGAAAGCCTGGCAGAGCTTGACCGCTTCCGTCCAAGCCAACCCTAAAGCCCTGAAGCTGCAGCGACTGACGCTTCAAGCCTTCAGCACCGGCCTCATCTCTCTTTCTTGGGTTTCAGGCCTGCTTTCTCAGAGCCTGCTCTCTTCCGCTGCTTCTCGACTTCTTCCTGCACAGGTGGGTGTCGCAAAGGTTTCTGAGGCCTGGCAGCGGCTCGCGCATTTGGCCCGGCCGTCCTTCTCCACAGGCTCCTCCGTCCTGGCCAAGAGACATGCAAGACCCCCAGGCCCCCCTAAACCCGAAGAAGTCGGCAGCATCGTGGCTTTCACACTCAGAGATGGTCTCCCTTGCGTCCTACAAGGTCCTTTTGCATCCGAGATCCCACACATCCTCCGTCTCGGCGGTCCTTGGAGCCATGCTCAGGGTGATCTTCAGTTGCGAGGCTTCCTGGCAGCTTCAGGGCAAGCACAAGACAATAGAGTTTGGAGCCCCATCACATGGCTCCGGGAGAGGCTGAGGCTCAGGGCGACATTTCGCGACGGAAACTGCCAAAGAAGCCCCTTTCTAAAAGGGAGGCATGAAGTCTTCATCTGCCTCTTGCTCAGATGTCTGCTTCTGCTTCTTGGCGAGCCTGGTGCGGTTCGCCTGTGGCTTGCGGGCTTGGGCAAAGCAGCCAAACCCCCAGAGGGTCTTCACGGCCATGCCCCTTCAAGCTCTGGAGGCAAACTGTCAATCGCATGCTTCCTAATTCCCGCAACTCCGCTCGCCTCACCAAAAGAGACGGAGCATCTCGCAGACACCGGCGAGACTGGCGTGGACGCGGCCTGCCAAGGCGAGAAAAATGACGAGGGCTCAGGCTTTCAGCCCGCCCGGGCCCGCCGCCTGGTCAACTGTCGTCTCCCCGAGTCCGAAGCGAGCAGCCTTCGTGACATTTCGTAACATGTGTGGTGCCTGGTCAGTGCTACACGATCTCAGGCTCGGACCTCGAGATTCACACTCTGCGTCTCCTGTGCCAAGATTTGTTTTCTACCGACAACACACACAAAGACGGAACCTCCAAGGATTGAAGGCTTTCTGGCCAACAACTAGTGGTAGGCCAGAGTTTCCATTGGCAGCCGGCTTTCAGAGTGTGCTGAAGACTGGATCTATTCATCTCGACATACCGTCAGAGCCTCATCTATGACAGCTGAACGATTTCGGGACTTTGAAGGAATCAAGCACTAGTCATTACAGATATTTCTCGTAGTCAGGCCCTCATATCAAGCCGACGAATCGCAAGAGGTCCTTCAGGTGCGCTCGCTTGATCTCCCTGTTGATCCGCTGCTCCTCCGGCAGAGTTTCGAGTTTAGGGTTTAATGCTTCGGGAGGATGCGAAAAGCTTAGGGCTTAGGGTCAAAGCTTTGATTCCGACCAGCCCACACTTTCAAAACTCGACTCTCTCGATATAGGGGTTGAGAACGCGACTGGGTTCTGGCTTCGAGTTGCGGGGGTTGGGGTTTGGGCGGGCAGGTGGCACCCCTGTTGCGTTGCAGCGTTGGGGTTCCGAGAAGTCTCCAACGTTTATACCCAGCCCTCAACCCCCAACCCCCAAACCTTAAACCCCAAAACCTCGACCCTAGAACCCTCAACCCTAAACCCCCCAGAAGCTAAACCCTCAAAGGTTCGAACGACAAGAGGACTCGAAATCGCTCGCGCCTCGGCCATGCTGGGCTTCGGAAGCGGCAGCCCAGCGACCTCCGGGTTTCTGGAGGCACATCGGGTTTAGGGTTTTGGGTTTAGGGTTTAGGGTAGTTTTTCTTGATTTAGGGGTACCTTACTTGGGATCCCTTTTTATGAGGATCCTAGAATTTAGGGTGCTATATTGGGGTCCCCTATTTTCGGAAACCCCCACATCTCGCGTATACTCTATGGGTTGTTATTCACTGCGCAGATATCATTCCTCATGGGGTTCCGCTGTATAAGTACAATGTGAGAACTCCTGAAACGCTCTTACTCGTATAGAAATTGATCTTCATTGCGTAAGGATTACGTCACGTGGAAAATGTGTTCGAAAGGGTTCAGGATATTCAATGAATGCAGGGCTTTCCATACGGTTCATGCGAGGATAGAAGGAGTATGGGCAGGTAAGATGTGCCACTGCGATTCACTTGCTCGGGAAACAACCGAGCTCACCGAGCTCGTGACATCACACAGAGGCGGCGCATCACGCTTGCTCCGCGACACCTGCCGATGCTTCTCCATGGAAGGCAACGCCACTGGAGACTTCGCGATGCTTGCACTGCATGCACGCGCGTCCTCCAGAGTCGTCCTGCTGCTGCGCCAGTCCCGCTCACACTCCTCCGAGAATTCTGCAATGCTGGGCGACCACAGTTCTGCAAGACCACATCGCAGTGCCCCGGCCGCTTTTGCAAGCGGGTCCTCCCTCACAATTCTGATGCCCTGCGGCTTGTGCAAGTCCTCAACAGGTCTCAATGCCTCCACCAGGCACCCGCTTCTTCCCCATCTCCACTGCAGGAATGAAGTCAACTGAAGGGGTCCTCTGTGAAGCCTAGCTGCGACACTCGCAGGTCCTCGCTGGGAAGGACTTCGGCTTAGGAGATGGCTCCAACTCCATCGCAAAGCCGAGAGATGCACAGGCCCTAAAGAAGAAGCCAGAAGGTTAGAACATCATGATCCCTACGCTCTTGAGGTAAAGCAACGGGGATCCCAGCACTAGTCATGCTCCATGCGTGCGCTGTCAAGCCATGCTCTTCCTCCAGCGTGCTTCTGAAGCTCTTCTGCTCCTTCGCCAGCTCCTCTCAGCAAGACAGGAGAGCAGCAACATCCCTTGGACCTATAAGCATACTCGGCAACGGCCCTGCAGTTAAACACTACCAGCCGGCCCTCTGAAAAGAACGTCTGCAGCAACCGCTGCAAAGCAATGCGCAGTTCACTGTAGGCCCCGTTCTAGCAAACAGTCAGAAGTTCAGGAAGTATGCACGGATCGCAAGACGAACCAACCATACCCTAAGGCCCTGAAGCCCTAAAGCCACCCCTTCACCTAACCAGCACAGGCCAGAAACCCGAAGTCGGATCCTGCAGAGCGTGTCTGAAGCTCTGCTGCTGCTGTTGAAACTCCTCTCTGCCAGGGCAACGTGCTTTGCACCATCAATCGCCTGGAAGAACACCCAGTCACGAGATTAGGAAACGGTCCGCACGGCGATGGAGATCGACACGGAGACTGCAATGCAAGCGAGAAAGCCAGGAAGGCATGAACGGCTCAAAAAAAACTTCCTTGGTGATCGTCCAAAAACGTGGCGACGAAACCTTGCTTTCTTGGCTTTTGGGCCAAACAAAAGCCTGGAACAAGTCTGGAAGCAACATCTTCCGGTCAGTCAGAGCATGAAGGTTTGAGGAACCGGGTTCAGCGACATGCACAGCAGGAGAAAGCTTTGCACGGCCTGTCCTCCAGACTCGTGCTGCTCGTTCGCCAGCGCTGCTCGAACTCCTCGTAATCTTCTGGAGTGCTTGGCCACAGCAGTTCGGAAAGAACATTGGTAGTTCTCAAAATTAGGATCCCTTTTGGGTCCCCGATATAGTATACGGCACCCTTGTAAAAAGCACATGGGCAAGCGAGTCCTCCCTGACGACGCTGACGATCTGGTGCTGACAGTCCTCAAGAACTCGAGACTTCCAAGGCCTGATCCCCACACTCCACTTAAAGAGACTCCAAGACCCCTTAATTAAGGAATAACCTTTAAATTATGGTAGGATCCCTAATAAGATTAAAGGTATATTCCTTAATTAAGGGGTATTGGAGTCTCTGGGAACCTCAACTCCAAACCCGGGAAATAGATCCCTGAACCGATGTCTGCTGAACGCACGCGCAAGCCTGACCCTCTCAAAGGTCCTCTGCAAAGCCTATCTGCGACACTCGCAGGTCCTGGCGAGAGAAGACTGATCAGGAAATACTCGATCGGCGCGACAAATCAGAGAGATGCACACGTAGGCCCAAAAGAAGAAGCTACTAGTAACAACTCACGTTCCTCCAGCATGCTTCTGCAGCTCTTCTGCTCCTTCGCGAGCTCCTGCCAGCGAGGCCACCAACTCTGCACGCAAGACGTCTGTAAGAGATGCAATATAGTCTGTACCTCGCCACCTGTCCCCTGGAAGCAAACACTGCAACTCGGCTGTCTCGGGCAGATGCTGCTACAAATGTCACTTTTTGTGTGTTGATTGAAGTCTTACAATTATAACCTCGCAATGGTGGAGGACTTCTTGCATGTTCCCTCCAAGTGTAAATGCAGAGTTTGTTCAAAAGGGGTGGCGGCGCCCCACTTCGGCGCGGCTTGCCTGGCGAGGCTTCATGAGCTTTACGGAGCTCCGTGCTCAGGGCGGCAATGACACGACGTCGACAACACGAGGTCTTGCACATGGAGATTTGCTACGCTCGGCGACCTTCGATGCGGATTGTTCTGCATGTGCGCGCGTCATTTCCGAGCGCGGCTTCTCCCAGCAGTTGCGACCTCCTCAGCTATGCTGATAAATGCTGGGGACGGTGTGAGCATTTGTGAAAGCGCACTCCGCCTTTGGCGCGACACAAGATCAGACTTCTTGTTCAGCAAGGTTGTGCCAAGCCCACCCTCCAGTGCCGTTCTGGAGGTTGTTCTTTCGGCATGCAAAATTTCGTGCTGCTTGGAGGTGTAGGTCAGACTGTAGCAATTCGAGTTGGTTGCTCGTAGTCCAGGCCCAAGCCCCACGCAGCGCAGACGTCCTGCCTACACATCGCCGCTTACAAGTTGCAGGAACTCTTCACCTAAAGCTTCCGTCCTCCACTTGGCTGAGGAGCAACTGTCGGAAGTCCTCCAAGCTTTCAGATTCTGACAAAACGGCTCCCAAGACCAAGGGATATCAAGGGATGCATCGAAACACACCCAAAGGCGAGGCCGGATCAGTCGGAGCCCCTTACTTAGGAAAAGAGAGATTCTCACTTGAGACGCCCGGCGTCCTCGATCATGCTCTTGGTGGTTTGCTGCTCCTTTTCGAAAGGCGTTTGGGGGAAGACCTCGGGTATGTTTCTCGCAGGCGTCAAGCGTTGCCAACATTTCGGGGTCTGTCTAGACGGTAACTTAGAATATACAAACCCCAAACCCAGGGAAGCGCCATAGTTTTGGCATTGCCGCATGCAAGCCTTGCAGCATGCTCAAGTACGTTGATCTTCGAGAAGATGCAGATACATCTGCACATGCATGCATGCTCGAGTGCATACGTACATAAATAAATCCATGCATGCATACATACATACATACATACATACATACATACATACGTACATGCATACCCCCGTCCAGCTACCCATCTATGCAGGCAGGCATGCATGCAAAACTATTCAGAACTAATGTACGCATGCACATACATACATACATACGTACATACATACATACATACATACATACATACATACATACAGACATACATGCATACAGACAGACACACACACACACATGCACACGTGCATACGTGCATACGTGCACACGTGCATACGTACACACAGACATAAGCATACGGCATCTGCGCATGCTGGGTCCATGTCATGTGGCTGCTTGTCGGCACATGCATCTACGTGCATGTGTCTCCTGTTTGCTTTGGCATAGTCTTACTACTGCACATTGAGGACTCTAAGCCACCCGAAACATGTTGCGGACTGCTGGCTACGAGTACCCTGTACAACTGCTCTCCAAAGGGCAGCCTCGCTCGCAGAAACCTTAACCGTGGGCACGCCTTGCTCAACCCGTAAACGCATCACCCCTCTTGCGTTCCAACACGTACAACACCGGCGAGCCCTAAGCCCTAAGCCTAAGGCTGACGAAAGCTCCGAAGGGAACGCGCTCCTCGACCATGCAGAGCTGGGACGTTCGGAACTCCTTGAAGGCTCCGGCGAAAGAGAAAAAGTGTTCTAGGTTTCGGTGGGTTCAGAATCCAGAGTTTAATTGGCCTAGGAAAGTTTATTGCCTTGGAGCTTCGGGGGTGGGAGTTGGCCGGTTGCGGGGTCCCGGAAGCTCTCATGCAGGGTGTTTAGGGATTACTTCGGATCCTGACGTTACGGATCCTAGCATTTGAGGGCCAGCTGATTATCGCAAACCCGAGGGAAGCGGTCGCAGAGACACCGAAACCGGCAAGGGAACCCCACACTGGAGAGTCCTCCAGCATGTGTCTGACGCCCGGGTGGTCCTGACAAGATGTAGAACAAGACTTATTCCCTCGGCCGTAGGAATCAAATAAAAGCTTCTTTTTCTTGAACGGTAAAAAAATTCTTGAACGGTTCGAAAAAGCGCAAGATGTTGTTGATGAGAACCACTCGAAATCAACAGCGCTCTTCGGAAATGACCCATCTTCGCCAGGTGACCTGAACAGAGACAACTAGAATAGGCTCCCTGCTCAGGGTCCTTCTGCTGGTTTTGCTACATGACGCAATTACTTGTAACCTTTCGGGAACATGCAGCCAAACTTCTCGTCGTCAGGTATTGCAAGCAGTGACTAAGCAACCACTCCCCCATTCCGGCATGGGAGCTCCCAAAGCAACGCTAATCCCAAATGGCGAAGTCTTCCTAGTCCATCCCAGTCCTGCTTGGGCCGAGAGTTGCGCAAGGCCTTCCCAGGCGACCCGGCGAGAGAGGGGGCGGATGCACTGGCAAGGAGGTCCTGGCGGCGCGGTAAGTCGCTGTAAGCTTTTGGAGCTCGAGGCCGAAATTAAAGATACAGGGCCCAAAATTCCACCTTGGGTTTGTGAACAACACCCCTTGATCGCATATGGCAGCACCGATACCACGAACAGGCCTTAGTCTGTACAGTAGAAGCCCACCACGCAAGGAAAAGCTGACAAGGACGGGCCGACCCGTTGAACTCCGCTATCCGAAACAAGGACCCCGTGGCGAACCCTCCAAAGCCAAAAAATCCCATACCACTCTCGGCTCCGTCGCTGGAGCCGCCACTTCTGCCGCTGCTGGAACCTACAGAAACCAACAAAGGTCTCAGAGCAACAAAAAGCAAATCATCGATGGCTCGCAAGTTCGCGGTTTTGGACTGCATGCAAAATCACACAGACCACCTTGGCACAAGTCCAGACGGCAACAATGTACACTCACACACACAGCCAGACAGAGAAAGGCGTGTTCGACATGCCAGGCCAGGAATCTCGGGGACAGCCTGCCGCGAGGTCTTCAAACCCTCCAACAAGGAGTGAAGCTTCTGGAACTTGACGTCCAATTTCTCGTGCACCTAGCTGCGAGTATGAAGCTGGCGATAGTTGTTGCAGTGCGGGTCCTGGCCTGGCTCAGTTCCCGCCGGACCCAGCTGGTAAGCTGTTCAAACTCCTGGAAGCGAAGACTCGCAGCAATTACCCTGTGCGACCGAATGGCTTGCCTGGGTTCTCGCCGTGCAGACTTCGTCTTCCACCTTCACCGTGGCCTTGCGACTCCGATGAAGGCAACGGCCGATCTCAGCCGTCCTGGCCCGGTGACGGGTGCCTCCTCAAAGCCGTTGAAAAGGGGTTGCGCCATGATGACAGGCACCTGCAATAGCGATCAGATTCATGGGTTTAGACCTGTAGGGAGCTTGAAAGTTCTTGAGACTAAAGCTTGCAATGGAAACGACCGTTCTACCAGCCTCCTGCATGGACGCCCACAGCGTGCCTGAGGCCTTCCAGCAACAAAACCGTACGATGTCGAAGGATGTTGGCGAAATCGCAGCTACCACTTATTAGATTTTTGATTTATACAACAGGGAGAGGGCTGAGCCAACTGTAATGCTCAGCAGTAGACGATCGGTACAGAGCAGAGCAAGAGCCGACACCAGCCCATGCATCTTTTTGAAACCGTGCTTTGCGGAGGAAGAATGAGCTTCACAAACTTTCGGCAAAAACACATCGCATGCTACTTGGACATAGAAACCTGGCGCACAGAACGCAGGAAAGCATATTCTCAACAAGGACACCGTTCCAGCAGCACTGGTGGCGCCGGGCCTCCGTGCTGCTGCCTTCTGGATTGGAATCCTCCACAATTCAGAGTCTATGCTATCCAGACTTGGAACTGCGCAATGACCTGAATCAAGGTGCCCTCACAACGGCCGGACATGCCTGTAGGGCAACATCCACCCGAGATTTCAACATCGCCAGGCTGGTCTCGATGTCGTGAAAGCGGCTATCCTTGTTCTGCTCGAATCAAGGCTTTGGGTTTTGGGAAGAATCACCGACGACAGGCCTTGCTGATGCGGCACCTGGCCAATCAAATTACGCAGAAGCCTACGGTCCAGAGAAATCATCAGGACCAACCAAATGCTTGTAGCATGCACGGAAAAATTCATGCTGACTGGTGTGTGACAGTCCTACGGGGTATGATGAGCACGTTAATTTAAGCCATACATGCACCAGCGCGGCCTCGCATCATCCACGAGGCTGCCCGTTGGCATGTCCCTTCAGCACACACTCTCATCATGCGAAGCTGAAAACGGACACAAACATGCAAACAGCGAAACAAAGCGACTTCGTCTTTTTAGATATTTGGAAATGATATACAACAAGTACAAGCCTTGGGGGCTGCAGCACTATGCACTTGTCGATGTCCTGCAAGCACTACTCACTCGATGCGACCACAACAAGCACGCACAATCGCGGGGATCCTCTGCCAGGGCATTTATCTCCATTCGGGCTCGGCTAAGTCGCCGCTCCATCTCAGGCCAAGCACGTAAAATCATCACACGAATGGACGTTAACGATGTTGCTGCTGATGCATCGACACAACACCTCGCCTCGGCTTGGAGCACCATAAGAAAGCTGTACCGCTGCACCTTCGACTGTCAGGCACTGCTCTGCCACGCTTTTTCCTGGTTGAAGATTCGCAGGCCGGCAGTGACATGCATGGTTCAACACTGGCCCAGATCAAAACGGCATAGTGACGACACGTTTCATCTGCAACTTTGTGCACCGTGACAGCCTTACAACACCTGGACCATGGCAATGACACACTCCCCACAACGGTTGTGGAGTCTAGTCTACGTGCCTCTTCCACGTCCACCTCCGCAAACCATGACAACGCGGCAAGCTTCTCGGTGTTTTCGATTTTTCCGAGTCCCGGACGTCTGCTCTAGGCTGGAAGCATTGCCCGCGCCCATGAACGCAGCATGAAAGTGATGTTTGTTTAATTTTAATCTGTACAACAAATCAACGTCGGAACACGATCCATGTCCGCTTATGTGACATGAACACTTGACATGGCCACAACCGCACATTCACGGACCAATCCGGCAGCAAGCAACTGCACGAAGCTTTGTTCCGAAACGTGATGCAACAGCAAAAACCGCTACAGGGCTCCAGTGCTGGTCCTAGTTGTTTTTTTTGGTCCAAGTTTTTTCAATCAGTGCTTACACCAGGCAGAAAAAGCTGTGTCGAGTCCTACACTTTTTCGCGAGCGCTCGGGAGGCATCGCCGGACGCGGGCAAGTTCAGGGTAGGTTTGATGTCGTTGAGCGCTGAGCGGGACCCTTGCCGTATAAGGTGCCTTGCCATTCGCGACAACCTCGATGCTCCGAGTGGTGGTCACCGAGCGGGTCGATGTGCCCCCGGCAGCTACATCTGCACAGCATGAATGTACCGCGAGCGACACGGCAAAAGCACGACGGTGAAGATGCCGCGGCGGAGCGCTTGCAGAATGACGAGGTCGCTGCCGTTGTATCGGAGCGCTCCGGGCACCGCCCAGCCACGGCGTGGGCGAGGCGGAGGACGTCGTGGTCCACGAAACGATCGAAAACGCGTCAACTTCAAGACGGTGAGGTCTACATCGTCGCCTGTTTCTTTCGGTGACCGGGCGCGGATCCCCCATCAAGAATGCTGCTAGGAAGGAAATCGCCGACCTCAGCGGTGGCGCTCAAGATTCGTTTGGGTGGAGGACTGGTCCCCCACAGCGAAACACCAATCCTCTTTCGGCCACGAAACCTCGGCACGAGCACTACCTTTTTTTCAGCAACATCCTTCACCATCATTACTAGCACGCCGCATGGCTGCTGTTAACCAACTTTGCGCAGACAGCTACACCCCCCACAGGGCACGGCGCCCAATCCGAGGCAAAGCCGGAGTCACAATGGTGCCGCGCGAGAACCGGAGCAGTTATACGTAATTATATTGTATAGTAGATGCACCTTTCTGACCTCACACCCGCGTCTCGAGCACTGCCGCTGTCCCAAATCGGGCCTCGCGATCTAGCGTCCCCCTATTATCCGGTACCCATTTGTGTCTTCCCCGGTTCCTGGTTCTCTTTACCCCCCCCACTCTCCAAGAAATGGTCCCACAAATAGGTGGCACGGTAGTTAGGTAACCCCGCCAGTACCTTTACGAGGGGGTCCCCGTGCGTAGTGACACGGCGCTCCAACGGCCTCCAGCTTCGCAGGCGAGGACGCACGGACGCTGCGGCCCCGGCCGCAGTAGCTCGGGGTGGGCAATTCGCTTGCGCCTTTTTGCGACAATGGTTGTTCCATCTCGAAGTGGCTGCACAAGGTTGGGGCCGCCCCTCGTGTGTCAGAGGTGAGACGAGCGTGACGTCGCAACGCCAAGCGGAGTAGCCCGTACACAACACAGTCAAGGCGGCGGGGATCGGCTGGGTCCACGTTAAGGGCGGACATGCGCGCCAACCACTGCTGTGGGACCACCGGGCCCTCGGGTCCGACAGCCTCGCACTCATGCATGTTCGGGGCTTTGCTCGGCGGGCAAGCAGTCCGGTTCGAGGGCATGCGGCGTGGAGGTCGCCATAGGCATCGACAGCGGTGCCGCAACCGTGCCCGTGTGCGTCACATCGGTGTGGAGCGACAGGAACCGCAGCCGCCGCTGCAAGGCCCGCAAGGCTCGGGTCGGCGAAGGTGCGCATTGCCGTGACAGGGAGAAAACTGGACCAGCGCTGGACCCGTCCTGCACAAGCAGCGGCCCGCCGCGCAAGGTGGCGCAGCAAGAGGGCAGCTTCAGCTCCAAAGCGCCCGCCCATCTCGACCCCAATAACGACGAGGCCCGCCCGTCGAGCGCTCGCCAACTCGGGTAAGTGTGGCGCGAATTGCGGCGGGCGGCGGTTGGGATGGCCGTGCCAAGGCGTGTGTCGCTTGGCTGGGCGCAGAGACTTCGACATGGGTATCGTCCAAGAACGCAAAAACGCCCTCGCCTGGGTGCCGTGCGGCCGCAACGGCATGAAGGGCGGTGGGGCTGTTGAGGTTGCGAGCGCAGCCCGTCGAGCATGGCCTGTCGGGAGATATGGTCGAATGCCCCCACAGTGTCGATCGACAGGACGGTGGTGCGAGGGTTGCAGTCCGTGGAGACTTGGACGGGGCTTGTAGCAGTGACCCGCAGCGGGACATTGCCCCGGCGAACCCAGACCGAAACAGAGGAGGTCGAGTACTCGACCGGTCGCGGCGACGACAAGACCGAACATTTCGACACTCGCCCAGGGACAGCATCACGAATCCGAACACTCCGATTCAGCCTGCTGCAGGCCACCGACTCCCCGGCGCAACTGCTCCCGGAAGCCAAGTACCTGCTCGGTGAAGTATACAGGCCCTGCTCCACCGCATCCAGCAAAGCCTCCAGGACCCGGCCCTGCAGTTTCAGCCGCTAAGCACCTCGGGACCCGCGCCGGCGGAAAGCAACGGGGAGACACCCTATGCCAAGATCCTTTCAAGAACCTCGTGACCGAGAACGCAATGACTCGACCGGCTCAGGCTACCTCCATGCACGCCGCCGCGGAGAAGACGGGACTCTCGCAGCCGATCCCGCAGCCGAAGCTGACCACTCGGAGCCGCGTAATTTTGTGCTGTGCTGGGTGGCTCCGAGAAGGTGCCGGCCTTTTAATGACAGACCCTCTGGCAGCTCACTCCCATTGGAGCAGCTTCGACGTCGATGGCAAATCCACGGTCAAGACTTGCCAAATTTTGCGTCTCAAAACCAGGAGCGTGCGTCATGATACTCACGAAGTGTTTGCAATCAACGATCGTAACATGAAACTACACGCACTGGAGCCACTACGTACGAGTAGTGTTGAACACGATCGCAAACGTGCAGAAACTGTCTGAACAACTCACCGTTTTTCTAAGCCTAATTTTTCCGACACATATAATCCTACACAGCTTCACAACAGGGTAGATGCAAGTACCTGATGCGTATGTACCGCTGCGCCAGGGTTGGATCCAGGCAAGCATCCCAAACAAAATGAGTCGGATTCACAGAAGGTCGCTTATCAAAGGATGTGTGACACGTTTGTTCTTTGTTTTACCCCCTTTTCCAAGCAGAAAAACGCGCGAATTGTTGAAAACAACTTCGCCGTGCACAGCGATGACACCGCAATCGAAACCTATACTACCAGCCAGCATGATTTGCATGGCAACTCTGATTGCGGTCTGAATTATGGCTTGTGCATAAAAATCTGACTGCAGTGTTTGGACTAGTGTAATTAGCCCTAGACCAATCACGCCTCCATTCCCATGACAGCAAGGCGCGCCTCGCGTGTGCTTTGACGACGGTCCGTAGGCCAACAAGAAAAAAACACTGAGTGACAAGATCACTTTTTCTTTGGGCGCGTGAAACAGAAAAGCCCAGATGCCATCACGAGGCACATTTGCGCCTCTGCAAGAGCATTGGGCATGGTAGATTGAGTGTGGGGCAGCGTAAGCTCGCCATGTGGCCCAGGCATTGGAATTCAACTTCGGGCTGCAATTTCTTGGGCTTGGCCTCCTGCAGCCGCAGGCGGATCCGTGCCTCGAGGCAGACCGGCCATCAGGTTTGGGATTGAAGGGTTTGTGTTGCAAACTTAAGGCCTAAGGTTGGGAGTGTCAGGCAGGCCTGGGAAGGCAGTTGATCTCAGAGCTCGAGAAGATTAGCTGCTAATTAGCTCATGAGTTAATTGCCCTGTTCCAGCACCTTGGCAACCCCATACACCCACAACAATTACATCCTGATTTACCTGTTCTAGTACATGGCGCAGCGCCTTCCCCATGTGACGGGCGCTTTTGGATCATGATTCCATTGTGCTTAAGAGTATGGCAAGATTCCAAACAATTACGTCGTGATCTTCATTGTTGGCTGAAACTCCGCTGAAGCATAGCCTAGAAAAGAACTCAATCACGATTTAGTTGCCGAGTGCGATGCCAAGATTTTTTCGTGCTTTTACAGATTTGAACCGTGGTTTTGAATTGTGGTTGGGGCCCTGGGACTCTAGGAATTTCATGTGTGTATGCATATACGTAAATATTTATATGCATATATCGATCGTTGGGTACGGGTTAAATCCGCACAATGAAACCTCTAAGAGTGTTACATATACATATACATACACATAT